TGCATTTGCGCTCGGTTAAACTTCTCAAGCTCAAGGATTTCAAATCCTATAGAAACCAGAATTTCTTGGTTCTGTACCCAGAGATTACCCATCCGTAATCTTTTTGGTTCTTTGAAAATTCATAGGAATCCGTTTTCAATATCGTTGATTTCAATAAACACGTTGTTAAAAAACACTGTAAAATAGATCTTTAATGTACAATTTTAGTATTTATAAATCAGAAAGGCAATGTCTAAAGACGCAAAGAAAAATTTCAATCGACAATATGGAATAAAATGCACAAAATGCTTGAAAAAATCCTAACAGAGTCTGAGAAGCATAGTCATGTGAAATGCTCACTGCAAATCTTGCATTTAATCTCCGGCGTCAGTTTCAACAATGAAATCGTCACCTCCTGAATGTTTCCAAACTTATGGAGTCATATTTTTTTCCTTTTGGCACTGTAAGTCGTAATGATTGCTGCTGATTGTCAAAAAATAATCATGCAATTGTAAATAAATGGCAGAAGCAACAGGTGGGCCGTCAGCACCGTGCGATACATTTAAGGAACTATGCAATATGGTGGATGAGAGATGCTAAACAACATTTCAGTTTTATATGTAAGCAGAATCATACCTAAAAAATAATATTGCTCAATAATTAAGAATCAGGGTGGAAAAAGCTCATACCAATTAAACTTTAATTGTTAAGGCTGAAGTACTGCAGTAGTTTTTTTGCATTTTTCAAACAAACTTTGCTTGATCGCTCACAATCTGTTTCAAATTCAGGGCGTTTCATATAACCAAGTATTTTGACCAAACAAAATGTCAAAGTGCATTATTTCCCTAACTTTAAACCAGTTCAAAACAAGAGATAAACACTTTACCGAGTAAAAAAATGAGTACTGACTTTGCAAAAGAAATAAGAGTGAGATTCGATGAAATACATTAATTGCCGCAGCAAATTAAAATTTCAAGCGATTTTTTGTTCCTACAGCACGAAAATTTGAGAATTATTTTTTGAAAATTCAGGGAAGGAATGTTTGATTCTTCGAAAATTTCAGAGAAAGAATGTTCCGAAAAAAGGTACCGAAAAAAACTGCCTCTCAGTAAATATTTATTATAGAAATTACTTCAGTAGTGATAGATAAGCAAATTACGTAAATTTGTAGCTTCATAACAGTTGGTGAAATAATGGCTATACGATGTCCTAACACTTAGTATACGGTCATGTGCAGCATCTAGTATACATAGGGAATAAGGAATTTTTTCCGATAAATTTCCACCATAATTAATGTAATCGACGCCAACGACACATTGTACACTAAATAATATCCATGTCTTCTCAGTTTTGCAATGGAGCAGAATAGCTATTCATAATTGGTAAAGTTCTATGATCCAATTTTAGCTCGCGGTCACACGGAAATTTCCCGTAATTTATTCGGCGCTTTGGTACTCAGTTGTTGTACAACGACATCAAGGTTTACTTTGAATTCAGACAGGACAGTCACCAAATTCTGTTGAAAATCTTTAATAGGTGTTACAAGTTTACTCAACAACTACAAATCAACAACTCTGCTAGAACCTTTTACATATAGTGACTAGGTACTTACAGCTCATCACCGTCAAATTTACTCTGCGCAGTAGGTTTTACGCAGAAACCAGTCTACGTTTTTGGTACCATTTTACATATTTTCCTTCGACTAGGCAAACGTTTTCAAAACTATCCTTTTCGCAAAAATTGCAGAAACTTTACGGAAGTGCCTGGTCAAAATAATACAAAAATTACAACAAGCATTTCTATCTATTAAAATCGATCACTAATAATGTGTAAAACAGTGAAAACCTAACTTAAGAGTTGTCATACAGTTACTACAAACTACAACGAGTCATGTTCTTTCCAAGTGTACGTCATTTCGATAAATTAAAGCAGAACATATTTACAACCTTCTCTACGTGCTGTATTTACATAAGATACTTCTGTTAACGAGGACTCAAGGATAAAAAAGTTTACGGTATTATTTATCGAAGTAGTTCAAGTTAAAAAGCAATTAACGATAACAAACATTGGTAACACAGTTTGTAAAGAAAATGATGGAACTACGCTATGAAGTGATCAAAAACTGAGACACCAAAAAGGTCATTGCAGGACTTCATGTAAAAAAGCCTATCACTGATAACGTAAACCAATTTATCACTATCTTAATTAAAGTTGAGTTTCCGTGGTTACAGTTCATAACAAAACCGTTGGCTTCGTACCGAGTTTAAGGAGAAAACAACGTTTGATCCTTTAAAACTAAGATAACGATAGTGAAAAGCATATTTGTCAAAAGATAAAGATTGGTATAATTCGATCTGAACGTGACTTTTTTATTTCTTAAAAGCTGAAAATGGAAGGCCTTATAATTTCAGGAAGATTGGTAACAGAAGTTCAAGTCTCGTTTCTCAGAGATCACACTAAAAATTTCATTTCAATTCCTAACGAATTAAAGGCGCACAATGAACATAAAGCTTATTATTATTACTTTAGCCACAATATTCCACAACAAAAACCTACTGACGTAATACCTTATCAAAGCACAAAACTTAAATAAAAAGCAGAGCTTGGAAAACAATGTCCAAACTTCACTTCTATGCCAGCGCAACGACTTTGAATACGTAGCAAGGCTCGCAGAATTAGAATCTGTATTAAAAATGAACTAATTCCTGTAATTTCGCTGTAAAATTCTTCAATAAGAGACATACATACCTTTGTCTCGTTTTTAAGAATCGCAATAATAGTAAGTAAAACAGCATAACAAGCAATTGGGGTAAAATTTCCGCACAGCCCCATACTATTGTAAAACAAATCTGTTTTCCCAATGGCAATGTATTGTTTTTGTCATTGTTTTCTCTATCCATAAACTGAATGCATAATGTAGTATGGAGCTGTGCGGAAATTTTACCGCAATCGGTTGAAAAAGCTGCATTTTGTACAGTTTTTACGTTTTTCAACCAACATAATGACACTTTTGTCTATACAAATTCATTCTGAAACCAATATTTTTCTGTCAACCAAACTGATTTGAGTGAAAGAGAGGATTCATAAGTTATTCATCGGCTTGAGGTAGTGACCGACGTGTTTGCTTAAAAATACTGCCCAGCCGGAAAAACGAGATATATTTATGAAAAATGGCAACGAAAGTTGGGATGTACTTGGCGACTCACGAAAGCGTTACCGTGGCCCGTGGGCAGAGATAGGAAAGTACTGACCGGGTAAGGAACCAATCAGATTGCAAGATTCGTTACCGTGTCCTCTCAAAAAAAATAATGTCCAATACTGAGCACAAGCTTCATCATTTTTTGCCACCGAAGAACCATATTATTTATATAGTAACGTCAGTTTGTTAACCCAATAATACGCACCAAGAGTTTCTCCTAGACATATTTACCAGCCACGTGTATATAATATGTCTGTGTATTATTCTTGTATTATTCTTGTGAACAATATGTTCTGTAAATATAATTTATAATTTTAGCCAGTATTTTATTGTAAATAATCATGCAATTCAACCTTATTAGGCTGCCATGTCATTATTTAATAAAGCTTTCTATCTATCTATCTATCTATCTATCTATCTATCGTAACAGAAGTTCAAGTCTTATTTCATTTCATTTCATTTATTTTTATTTAAACACGGTCAATTCATCAACCTAAAAAATACATATCACATACGCAAGAATATTTAAAACTCAAACTATATACTATAACACTAAAAGCTGTTTTCCGTGAGTGCCGTGCGTTAGACTTAAAGAATGTCATTGATCTTACGTTTAAATACCCCCAGAGACTCTGTGTTCCTTATATCGCATGGTAGACTGTTCCATAATGTGGCGCCATTGTAGCTAAAGCTTTTTCGGTAATAATTAGTGCGCGGTAATGGAACATTGAGCTTATTTTTAGAGTCCCTGAGGTCATAAGCAGAGTCACGCCACGTAAACTTTGAACACAGATACTCTGGAGCTAGCCCGTGCAGACATCTAAACATCATGGTGGCTTTGTGAATTTCCTGCTGGCGTGCAAGATTTTTCCACCTTAAAAACTCGAGTAGCTCAGTTGCATCAGCATTATAGTTAGAGAATGTCAACACACGGGCTGCTTTATCCTGCAATTTCTGCAGTTTGTCTCGTAGCGTTTTCCCACAGTTACCCCAAACAATGTTACAGTAATCAAAGTGAGGTTTTACTAAGGCTTGGTAAACGAGATGTAAGGTTGATGCTGGGATCAGGTGCCTTATTCGCTTTAGGGCCCCGATACCAGAGGCGATCTTTTTGGTTAATTTTTCGATGTGACTATGCCAATCGAGTTTATCGTCTATTATTAAACCAAGCGATTTCGTAGCTGTAACCTGGCTCACTTGAGTATTGTTCATTGTAATTGTTGGTGAAGCTGTGAGAGTATTCAGTCTCTGCCTCGACCCTATTAGCATGAATTCGGTTTTGGTCATGTTCAATGTAAGTTTGTTTGCTTGTAGCCAGTTGAAAACGTTTGCTAGGTCTTCATTTAGGCAAAACTGAACATTCTCAAGATTACTGCCCGCATATGTAAGGTGCGTGTCGTCAGCGTACATTCTTGGTTTACAATTTGATGAGCAATTTGGAAGATCGTTAATATATAATAAGAACAACAGTGGACCGAGGATGGTCCCTTGAGGGACGCCGCATGTCAGTGAATAGCTATTGGAAAGCGACCCGTTCACAGAAAATTTTTGTGTGCGGTTTTCTAGATATGACTGAAACCATTTGAAAGATTTGCCATGTATACCATAATAGTTTAGTTTCGATAGAAGAATTTGATGATCAACAGTGTCAAAAGCTTTCTTCAAATCCAGAAAAATGACTTCATTGATTTTCCCGTTATCAATATCATATGCCCAAGAATCTGTCGCTTCCAACAAAGCTGTTACAGTTGAATGATTAGCACGAAAACCTGACTGATTTTGACATAGAATATCGTGCTCTTTCAAATAGGCATATAACTGTTCAGTAAACTATCCTTTCAAACGCCTTCGCCACTATTGGAATCACCGATATTGGGCGGTAATTGTTTACATCACCGCGGTCACCCTGTTTATAAAGAGGAGAAACCCTTGCATATTTCCAGTCATCTGGGAACGTCCCTTGGTTAATAGATTGATTGAAAATATCACATATCGGCACACAAATAAGATCAGCACATTCCCTGACCAACCTAGCAGATATTTTGTCAAGGCCCGTTGCCTTTGACTTGTCTAGGTTATTTAAAAGTGAAAATACTTTATTTGGATTGGTGGGTTGGAGCTTAAACCGTTTATCTGTAGCGGTAAGATATCTTTGATAGCTACCACTATCGCAATTTATCTCACTGGCAAGTTTTGGACCAATATTAGCAAAGTGGTTATTGAATTCGTTTGATAGCTCCAACAGATTAGTTATCGTTAATCCGTTCACTTTTAGTGACGCTACTGACTTTTTCCCAGATTTTCGAGAGGTTAGCTCGTTTATAGTCTGCCAGGTATTTCGGGAGTCGCTGGTGTGCTTATTAAATCTATTTTGGTAATAAACTAGCTTAGCTGAGCGTATTTGCTCATTGGTTATATTTCTTTGTTTCTTAAATAATGCCCAATCGTTAAGATCATTTGTCTTGCTAGCTTTGATTTTTAATATGTCTCTATTATACATAGAGTCTTTCAATTCAGAGGTAATCCATGGAGAACTCCGTGAACGAACACGCATCGTTTTCAGTGGGGCATGTTTGTCAGCAATAGCTAGAAATGTACATTTCCATTGCTGCCACATCACGTTTGGGTTGGAAGACTCATATACAATATCCCAACAAAATTTTGACGATCGTAATTTCGGAAATTTCTATATGTAATAGAATTATGTCCATTAGACATTCCGTTCTGGGCAAGTTTTCTATATACATTCACCATGCTATGATCACTTATCCCGATGTGACAAACTCCCGAACAAACGATCTTATCTGAGCAGTTGGTATAGATTAAATCAATTAGAGTTGAAGAGGTGGGTGTTATCCTCGTTGGTTCAGAGATGAGCTCCTCGAGTCCGTAGACATCGGCAATACTCCTTAATTTGGATACGTCATTGTCATATCGAGTAGTGATCATATCACAGTTCATGTCTCCCAGTACAAAAAATTCTACATTTTCACTCTCCAATTTTCCAATTAGGGAAAAGGTGAAAAAATGCCAATAGGAGAGTCAGGTGGTCTGTACCAAGTAACAATCACAAAAGATTTTGAATTTGGCTTATGGATTTCCAAGCAAATATTTTCTAATGCATCCATATGTAGGTCATTTCGTACAGTAAAGTTGATTGAGGTCTTTACATAGAAGCATACCCCTCCGCCGGATTTTGTAAGTCTATCGCGGCGAATTATTTCGTATCCCGAAATATGAACTTCATGATCTCGAATACTCTCGTTCAGTTTCGTTTCATTTATGGAAACAATATCGATATCATTGTTTGCTAATAGGATTCTTAGCTCGTCTATATGTGTTGTTAATTGATTAATGTTGAGTGATGCCATTTTAAAACCGCGCAAAGGAGGCAATAGTGAGATGGATTTTCGGCTCTTTGGTTGCTTAATCGGTCCCGCACGGCATTGACGGAAAACACATTATCTCATTCTAGGTGCGATTTAAAATTATTATAAAACTGCTCGTTACCTTTAAAATTTAAGTGCAGTCCACCTTTGTTGAGTCCGCTATGAGATATGTTCTCATGATGGATTAATTTCCATCCATTTTGATGGCAGAACTTCTTTAGATGCTTGTTGGCTGTTTTCACTGCCTGGCCAAGCTTATCTTTTCTGCATACAAGCTCCGACAGCGTGACTATAGTATCGCAGGTGCCCTCGATCTTCCTCGCGAGATCCACAATCGATTCCGCAACAGCCTTTGGTTCTCTGGTTTTAAGATCATTAGTCCCAATGTGTTAAATCACTTCGTTGGGCGAAGGTTCTAGATTTGGCTTAAGGTAGTGATTCATGGCCATTGTCGTAGCGCCCGAGAAAGGCTTGACTATAACCCTATGGCCGACTGCTTTTCCCAGATCTTTTCCAGGTATTCTTGAGATCATCGAATCTCCTATGAGCAGGGTTGTGCGCTCTTTTGGTTGTTTTTGGGGTTCGAATTCTTTTCCTGTCAGGGTGTTGTTGGAAGCTCCTTTGTTTTTCGATTTCTTTCTTTTTTTCTTTGATTTCACAATGAAGCCTTGTTCTTTGTTGGCGCAGGGTGTTGACTCATCCGTACTTTAGACAATGGTATGTTCATTAAAGGTGTTATTCGTTGAACGGCATTGAGTAGCTGCTTCTCTGGATACGATTTGCAATGCAAAACTTAAAGAATCGCGTTCTTGGACTAACTTTTAATTTTCTTCCTTCAAAGATATAATTATATCCCGAAGTCGAGAATTTTCGGATCAGGGATCAGGGAACACACTACAAATTTCATTTCAATTCCTAACGAATTAAAGGTGCACGATGAACATAAAGCTTATTATTATTACTTTAGCCACAATACTCCACAACAAAAACCTACTGACGTAATACCTTATCAAAGCACATTACTTAAATAAAAAGCAGAGCTTGAAAAACAATGTTTAAACTTCACTTTTAAAAATCATGCATTTTTATTCTTTAACACATTAAAATACCACCCCAAGCCCTACTGTTTGCTGCCTGATTTATATCTTTTACTGTACAAGTAAAATGAGTGCAATACCGTCTTCCCCCCACCCCTCCCCACCCCGATAAGACGCAAACTCCTTCCGGGTCTTAAATCCATCACGTTAGTATATTAGCCAATCAGAGAGGAGTTTTTCCTCCTAAGAGTTCTCAACCATTCAACTGTGATGTGCGTGGACCCCACTTGATCACTCCTTTGATCATCGTGTTGAGGTGTGGCTTGGCTTGTGTGAAATTGACAAACTAATACTGCAAATATAATTGGGATCCACAGATTGCGAGTATCATAGGTGCAGGATTCTCGGCGGCTAATTATGCCGCCGACACTGGTGTTCCCTACACAACGGACAGTCTGAAAATGACGCTGGAAGAAGTCCAGAATGCCTGTAAAGCTGTAAAGGAAGGTGCGGCTGGTGCCATGAATGCTTCTGTGAGGGGTAAAACATACATGGTTCTTCGCAACGACGAGGATATGTGTTATTTCAAGAAAAAAGGAGAAGGTGGCGGTTGCTTTGGCAAGACTAAAACTCTTCTCGTAGCGGGAACATACAATGAAGGGCAGCAGGCTGGACAGCTTAACGATTTGCTTGGTAAAGTGGTACAGCATTTAAAGGGTTCGGGATACTGATCTTCCACTGACTCTTACACATACAAACGTTTATGCAGGAACAAAACCGCTTTTATTCCTTTGTTTGTGGGAGTTTTGGTCGATAACTTGAATCGTATAACCACTATTACGCATTTTGTGTTTAATTACTTTATAGATGTTATATAATGTCTATAAATAACTATTCTTCAGACTTACTTTATGCCAGCGCAACGCCTTTGAATACATAGCAAGGCTTGCAAAATTAGAATCTGTGCTTAAAATGAACTAATTCCTGTAATTTCGCTGTATAATTCTTCAATAAAAAGTTTAAAGTACAAGTAGTGTTCCTCAGTGTAAAACATACCTTTGTCTCGTTCGAAATTTTACCGCAATTGGTTGAAAAAGCTGCATTTTGTACAGTTTTTACGTGGAAAAATTGCCTTGACTCTTCTCTTTTTTGTAAGTTTGATTACACAAATGGGTGTTTGTCATTCAAACCACGAGTGTATCGTTAACATGCGATATTACCTATAAAGATATGTGCCGCCCCAAAGGGTATGGTTTTTGAGCCGTGTTGGTCTGAAAATGGGTATAGATTTTGACCATTATTGTCTGGAATTGGGTACGGTACTCAAGGGAACCACGAGATAGTGTAAACGAATTTATCTTTTCTTCTCCAAATGAATGAGAGAGAAATATAAGTAGGCAAAGGATCGCATTCGGCAGAATTTTACCAGTATTTTTGTTGGCTTTTACTTCCTTTGACTTTGGCATCGATGCCAAAGGTCTGAAAACAGGTTTGGATTTTAGAGGCCAGGTATGAAAACGGGTGTGGAAAATGGCTCTTTTTGCTCCGAAATAGGGTGAGGATTCGGATTACCGGGCTGCACACCCCCACAAACAATTCCAGAGTACTCCCTGCGAACTGAAGGCTTTGCTGGGGCTAAGTTGTCCGCGAAAAAATTGTCAAAGACTACCATGGGTAGCTATGAAAAGCATATCTACTTTCAGAATAAATTACTATTAAACCGTCCAGGTTGCTCAGCTAACCCACCAGGAAACAAAGGAAAGATCTTAATAGGCGAGATTATAATGACACAGATAGATCTTCGTAGCCGAGTTAAACCCACCGAGATGGACAAGAGACCTTACATTTCTTGCTGGTTACTCGACCAGGAAAGATCGAGAAAATATTCTAAGAAATCAAGTCAATATAAAGCAGGCTAAGAAATTATAAGAGAGTGCGAGATCCAGACAGTGAGAACGGAACAAACAATTAACTAGCTTCGCTGCAGAACTGGAACAAAAGAGAATAAAACACTTTAAGAGTAGAGTTCAATTGAACTGTCCAGGTTGCTTAGCTAACGCAGGGGAAGACAAAGGAAATGGCTCAATGTTTAGAATTTTTTGGTAGTAATTTGGAAGCCTATACAACATATTGTTCACAAGAATAATACAAGAATAATACACAGATATATTGTCTACACATAACAAAACACTTTAAGAACAGAATTCAATTGAACTGTCCAGGTTGCTTAGCTAACGCTGGAGAAAACAAAGGAAATGGCTCAATGTTTAGAATTTTTTGGTAGTAATTTGGTAGCCCATACAACCGTGAATTTATCATGTATGAAAAAATGCTTCGAAGCTAAATGTACTGCCTCGACCTCTTCAAACTCCTTGCGATAGTCATAATACAAAGTTCATAGTAAAAAAAAGCGAGCGAAGTTTTAATTTAAGTTCTACAACAAATATACGCTATCTATGAGTCTTTCCAAGTCCGTTCAATTTGAACATTTGTAGCGTAAATTGCACAACAGAAACTGAAGAAAGTTTTTGAGAAAAGGCCGCATTAAAACCCTTTGTGTCTCGTTGGAGTATACCATTCGAATTTAGTTTTTGTGAAAGAAAGACCAGATTTACACACGCCATTGCAGCAAACAAACGAGCAAACTCTCACAACTTCAAAATAAAAAAATTGAATTTACTCACAATTACTTTCCTCGCCGTTTACTTAATGAACAGAGGTAAATCTTCGTACATGAATGAATCGTCGATGAGAGTGGATAATACTTACCGTTAGATCATTGACTGTTTTTGAAAAAAACATTGTCGTGACAGTGCTTGCCAAACTAGTTCCGTTGTTTTTCAAATGCGCGCTCTCTAATTGACAGGCGTCAGATTGTGACAAATAGTTGTAAAAATAATGTTTCAAAGTTTGTTTGGATGCCTTTTAAATTATCGTTACGGAAATGCAAATTTTTTGCTGAGGCATCTCTCTTGAATTTGCATCACCTCTATTTTAACTACCATTTACTCGCTCAAAAACTGTTCAGTTTATGGAGGATCTTGCCGTATTTACAGCCCTAAATCATTCGGGTTCTTTCGGAAAGAATTTCGTCAAGTTTCAAAAAAATAAATATGTTATTTACCGGCTAAGGGTCGGTCCGTATACGGCCTCGGGCAGTATTTTCAAGACCTCGGTCACAGTTTTTCACC